TGGGAAACTATGTCCAGAGCAACGAATCTTTGTAACTTTAAGGTGAGTACATGTAGATCTATGTCACACACAATAACAAAATATCCATACTATACAGAAACTAATCAGAGTTGCCTATCTCACATCTAGAGCGAGTGAATAGTTTTTTGCACACACGTTTAGGCCTAGAAGGGCCTGGCTCAGGCTTAAGATTCGTGACTCACAGACCGGTGAAAGAGTTTATCGGGCTGCACATCGATAAAGTTCGGGACTGGTCAGAGGGTTTTTCGGGCTCTCTGAGACAGTTGACTGTTAAATCTTATGCTTATAAGAAGCTGGGAAATTCATAGTAAGATAAATTATATCGAAGTAAATGCCTCTGCTGTGCTGTGCTAGTTCCTACTTGAACCATGATATTGTGCACACGGCTAAGGTTGATCCTGGAAATTCAACCTATGCAATTCTTGCATCATGCTAATTTGGAAGGTAGACAATTTCTCCGGTGAAAGGGCTTTTATGAAAGGAAAAGTCCCTTTGAATTTGAACCACATCAAAAGAGGGTTTCTGTTTTATCCATCATTGATCAATAATGTGATCATTGCTTGGTCAAGGGCAGAATTGTTTGGCGACTTTGAAAAGTCTTTTTTTTTGTTTTTTTTTTTGCTTTGGCCTAACCGTGGTGTCCATTTCTGCAGTCACCATTGAGAAGAGAAGTTTCCTCATGCCCAATGTCATCTACATGAAGATCTTCTGCTCGGGACTCCACTTCAATTGGTTGACTTGTTGAGGCCAAAGGTGTGAGGCTTACATAGACGATTTGTCCATGCTTGATTAAATGGTTCTTGATTGCGAGATGTTCAAAAACTCCCTTTCTGCCTCATACTAGTCATACAGTGGAACTCGGATTTGACGAGCTCGGATTCAACGAGATGAGATAGATTCCCTGTTTTTTTTTCTTCTTTGAAATCAATAAATAACCCGGATTCAACGTGCTTTTAAATCAGCGAGCTCGGATTCAACGAGGTCGCTTCCAGGGTGAACAGCCCCCCCGCAGACGTGGCTTCGCTCAATTTTCTTCAAATAACGAATTTTATCTATTCCTGGAAACGATCCATTGCACCTGCATCGTAAATCATTATTCACTTAGTCGATTACATGCGACCAATCAGCAGCCTTTTCCCATACCTACACATGCGTCGTTGGCACGCGTACGTGTCTACCCTAGCGTGTGTCGGGGTCGGATGGGCGGCCTGCACACGTGTGGCTGTGTGTGCGTGTTGGGGAGATGGGCGCACGAGTGGTCCGGGCGCTGAACGTCGCAGATTCAAACGCATCACGAGTCATAGTCTTTCCCCCCCCCCCCCCCCCCCCCCTCAGCAACTGATCATTATATTACAATGATAAGCTAGTCTTGACGTAGATCTACGTAATGAAATGTGCGCTGGTCTATGGAATAAAAAAGTTGCCGTACGCTGGCTCTAAACACAGCAACACAACTTTTTGGTAAACTATCCAGATGACACAGGCATGTGCGTTTGAACGAATCGGTCTTTTTTTTACACAGCTCATAATATGCAGACATTTCAGGCACTAACTTGTGACTTCTCTTTAGACATTACTACCTGCTCAGTGCTTGTAATTATCTACACAATACCGTGTGTTTGCTGTAACGAACACTCGGATTCAACGAGATTTTAGGTCAGGCCCGGCGACCTAGTTGAATCTTAGTTCCACTGTAAAAACATGATTTGTGCGGGGTAAAGGCTGCAGAACTGCTTGAAGCTTTTGCCTTCCGTCAGGACAGCATCTTTGAAAGGTAAGGCGTGAACCTCTTGAAACTAAGACCCATGTCCAAGAAACCAGGAGTGGATAGAAGCCAAATTAGACTTAGTCTCACTTTGACATAGATTTATCCCACATCTCGAGCCTAGCTGGTGTTTAGTTTTAGTAGAGGTTTCACGGCGCTCGCAACTGCATAAGGCCATATGAGCGCCAGAAGAATAGAGGTGTTACAAGAGAGTAACAAACAAAAAAGAAGAAGGGGAGATCAGGACAATGGATGTTTGATAGGAAAGAAGAAGCAAACCACACCAGAGCACCGGCCAACCACCCACCCTTGCTGGTGTGCGTACCCCATTTGTGACATTTATTCAACCAGGATAGCTAAAAAATACACCTTGTTTCATGCCTCTTCGGCTTGGTCTATTTTATATCCCGCATTTGCCCATCCCCCACAACTCTGCCATATGCATGGCACAACTCTCTCAAATGATGTATAAAGTCTTCAGAAATGAATTTCTCAAAATAATAAGTGGGTTTGGCGGTATCTATAGGTAATGGTTGCTTTGGACCAGTATGCTCCCTAAACGAAAATGGAGGCAAAACAATGGTATGGGTCGATCTCTGTACTCACATCCATCATTGTTTTTCATAGGTCTGTCATCCCTATCAATATCATCCACAACTGACCCTAGGTTGTCGGATGAATCACCATCTGAGCTGCTATCCCCATGATCTAGCTCACTAACATCAGTATCACACTACCGGTATAAATAGTATCAATCCAATGGGAAGGATTTCCACGACATTGAGCTGTCACTGACAGCCTTACAATCATTGTCATTTTCACTCACTTCACATTATATGATGAAAGGAAGGCAAAAACATCAACATGGAAACGCTGGAAGTGAGAGATCGTTCATATTTCTTAGAACGGAAGTTGGTTTCTCCACACTGAAGAGAAGCTGAATCATTGGCAAGGAAACATACTATTACTATGTCTGTGCATCGGTACACCGGCCCTAAGTATGATTGAGGGTCGTTTGGTGAGCGCCCGTAGGTATATATGGAAGGGTTAATTTTGAATTTTTATAAATTTCAGCTAGGTTTGAATTTGTCTATATCCGCACACACAAAGGACACAGAGAGGGAGAGATTCAGATACATACATGTAAATCACCGACAAAAAGACACTTTTTAAACAGCAGTAACAGTAACAGCAGAATCATTTCCCTTGAGGTTGGGCAGTTAGAGCTATTTTATTATCAGAACTGTTAAACAGTCAGCCCCACTATTCCGCCAACTTCATGTTCTCATTCCACTATAATGTAATGACGTCTGAATATATAAAGGAAAAACTATTTTTTCAGAGGCTTCTGTGAGAGAAAGGCTCATCTGTTAAAATCTGAGGATTGTCCATTCTCAGGTTGTCAGGTTGCAACGCCAAGTATTTGGCAAATGTCTGTTTATATATTTTACTTTCAAAAGAGACATTTTCTTTGCCTCATTATCTTTGCTGCTGTTTATGTCCAACTTAAACTGTGGCTAATGCAGAGACTGAACTGACTCTGTCTAGAGGCATTCCACTCCAGATAACAGTTCGATGCCCATAAATTCTTTTTTAAGTTAAATCCGGGATTCTTTTCCTTTATCTTATAGTGGATTCATTGTCAGTGAAGCAGATTTCAATGTAATTTTATTCCTGCCAATAACATTGGTGATAACATGACAGGTCAAAAAGACGGCATTAGTTAAAACTAATTGCCAAGCATAGAAATATGAACATGGAAGTAGGCCTGTTGCTTTAGTCACTTAAAAAATTACCAGAGAAATTCGGGAGTGAGAGTGAGTTGTTGATGTGTGTGGTTTCCTTATAGTTCTGTGTTAATTCTCTACAACATTGAAAAAATTTGGCTTTTTCCGTTACCAATAAGTCTCTGACCAGTTCCTTTTGTATTCCTCTGGAGTAAGCATGGTGCACATATCAGTTAAGAAAAATAAGGGCATACTGTCCTCTTAATTATCAAATACCTTGATAACTTTAAACTTCAATTGAAATTTTAAGATGTAAGTGTAAGTTCAATTTCAATACACAAAAGTATGTTACGTACATGTATGTGCTTTGCCACCTCTTTTTCTGTATGTAATTTATTGAGTTGTTTTGTTTGATACTTGAATGGAATAAACACAACATGGACAATATCTCAGCCTTCATGTCATTATTTTGTCTTGTAACTTGTATTGCTTAAAAGTGTGAAAGTAGGTGGTTGGTGGGTGCTCAGGTGTGGTTTGTTCTTTCTTTCCTTTCAAACATCTTGCGTCCTTATCTCTCCTCCTCGTTAATGTCACTCTCTTGTAACACCTGTAGTCTTCAGCACTTAAATGACCTGTGTTGCAAATGCTGTAAAACCATTTCCGAAACTAAAAAGTGTTGGAACAGAAATAAACGAATTCAACCAAGACATCAAAGATGAATTGTCTTTGACTGATTGTTCAGGGGACACACACTTTGTCTTTGAAAGCTGTCATTTATTTTCTGGAATTCAGGCTTAAATTGACAAATGCTAAAACAATTTCAAAATATAACAACCAGCACCCACCAGATCTGCAATGAGATAGTACAGAAAGGTGTAATAAAATCAAGTTTCTTCATTTCTAATAAGCTCTCAGTTAATAAAAGACAAATACACCAATAGTAAGACGTCAACTTAAAATGACAATAAGCTTCATCAACGGTAGAACAATTACCTCTGCAGCTTCAGGCTGGTGGTTACTTTAAGATTGGTTTTAATTTCTTTTCTGCACTCGTTTTCCAATAACTTTTAACACATTACACCCTTAGGATCTGGACGGGAAGTCCATTCCTAGATCCAAAGCAAGGGGAAGGAACCCACCTCCCGTTAACACAAGCGTTTAAAAAACACATTTAAAAAATACTAAACAAATTCAAAAAAGCCTGAAAAAATACAAGTTTGACAGAAAAATGAACGCAGTTTCAGAAAAATATAACTTTATGCATGTGCAAATTGTTGGAAATGTTCTAACTTTAGTTCAATCGGGGTGTCCAACCCGTCACTCCCACTCTCAGCCTTGCGGCCGGGCCCTGGATCTAAATTCTACATCTGATAAATCTAAATCGACATAAACTATCGCTACAACGTTTTAATCAATATCCAATTCATCTGATTTATCATATGCTTGTTTAAGTTCAAATCCATCGTTATTTCATTTTTTGAACTCAGTTGTGTTGCTTTTCAAGTCGAGACACCTTCGAAGTGTCAGAAACGCAATCGCACTTCAATCAGTTTTAATGTGAAAACCACTGGCCCGAAAAATTTCGTTTCGGTATCAAACGGAAGAAGAAACATTTTTCAACCATGTAAATGTAAATCAAAATCTCGGCCCCAGAGTTTCGATAAGGCGAAACTTCATTTCTAAAGACTTTAAGTCGGTGGGGGCAGTTCTGGGCGAGTTAGAGTGGAGCGCGTATGAAAATTCTTGTGCGAGTTAGGGTGTAATTTGTTAATTCTGTGAAAAAAAGTAAGAATGATGAAAGTACAGGAGATTATCTGTCTCTTCAAATTAAAATCATCACTGGTCCACAGTTGTTTATTTAGAACTTAAAGTTTAAGCCCTTTGATTCTAGGCCAGACTGAACTTCTCAGAAACAAATTAAAAATATTACATGACTCACAGACATGCGCGCAACTGAACATGTCAATAATTCAGTCTGTAAGGAAGATTAAGAGCTTCAGGAAATGACAAAGATAGAGCATATCTTATCAAAAACATTTACGGTTCAAAATGAAAAAAGTCAAACATATCTGACTTCTGTAACCGCTGAGCAATTGAATAAAAATAAACAGGCACTTTCCCTTGCTTCCAGAGATTGTAAATAAAGCCAATTACTTAGTATTACATACTGGTTCCTCTTTACAGACGGGACTGTTTATGTCAGTAAACAGAATTCTGTTCGGACAAGACTCCAAGCCACAAAAGCTCCAATGAAAAAAAAAACTGTAAAGTAAATCATGTGAATATCATTAATTGCACTTTAATTTTTAATATGTTGAAGCTGAGGAAGGGAAAGAGAATTTTAAAAAGGTAAAAGCTCATCCCAAATCCAAATTTGCTATCCCTAAAATTGTCTCCACAAAGGTTTAACTACTGCTATGCTTAAATCAGTTATGACGCATCTTCCTTCGCATCTTCAGGAGGACCTTCACTGCTGTCCTCGGGTACTTTGGCCTCTTCCTCTTTCAACTGATTATCCTTCTCCCCCTCTTCTCCTTTGACATCATCAGCTTCCTCAGCACCGCCATCATCATCACCTTCTTTTGCAAGGGCCGAGTCTTCTTGTTCGGCAGATTTCTTCGCCTCAAGTTTGGCTTGTTTCTCTGCTGCTACACGCTTGTCTGGGAATTATAACATAGATAAGGTAAGGGGTAAGATAAGATAAGATAAAGAGACATATTGTCCAGATCCAAGCACACTGGTTTGGTGTTCCACCATGCGCACACACACAATAATGTTGGTTGGTTTGAGTAAAGAGAAGCAACACCAACACAGCAGCGGCAACATATAAATATTATCATACAACCGATATTCTTAGAGACAAAATCTTTATTAAAACTGGAAACAGTTCACACATGAATGTCCATTAGTTATTGTAACTAAAGTGAAGGTTTTTTTACAGCAATAATAAAGACATGTGTCTAAACATGTCATCAAGCAAGCATAAATGGAATTAATCAAGAGTACCCCAAAATACTTGCTTGCCATAACCCCCCCAAAAAATTAAGCTATAAACAGTAGAGCATGACAACGCTGTTTTCTGTCCTGGAATTCTCTCCAATTTCGAAGAACGAGGGAAGCACTACAAGTCCACTCGTTTCTAATATATTCATAATTAATAAGGGGTGAATCTATTGATTTAAAATGTCTTGAAAAAGTGACAGAACTAATTTATGTAAATATATAATGTCACTCTAAATCTACGATGCTAATTTTTTACTAATTGACAATCAAATAATGAGGAGTATGATGGTATACTCAATTACATTCGTAACCCCCCCCCCCCCCCCCAAAAAAAAAAAGAATTCAGTTCATTTCCTAATTTTTAGCTTACACAGGATAAGTGACTATCCTCAATGTTGACAACTCTTATCCAACTTTCCTTTCTGTAAGCTACCATTTCAAAATTGTGCTGTTCAAACACCTTGGGAGGTGCTCATAGACCTGACCAAACTGATAAATCTCAACAAAGGTAACACAGCATTTTTACAAGGCACCTCACTAACAGGAGAAAATTCAACCATCGACACAATCTAAACCTTTCAGAGGTGGACAGCTTCAATCCTGCCAGCCATGGACCAACCTGGGCGGAGAAGGATACTGCATCACAGAAAATGGAGATACTCAATAAAAAAGAAACTTTACCAAACAAGAATCAAACCGGTGCCTCCTGTGCCCAACTACAAAGCGCCTAACCGTTGCAATTGTGAAGTGGGAGTCATAATTGTGGATGTGGAAACTGGAAAAAAAACCAACAGAAACAACAAATAAAAAACAAAAGGTAAACGTAGCACTCACTGATTTCCTTCAGGTCCTCTCCCAGTAACATCAGAGCGTGGGCGCGATCACACCGAGAGCCAAAGCATCGGACAGAAGCTTTCCCACGCCACCCACAGAACACAATCTCACATTTGGGAGATGGTTCCCTGATTTTAAAAAAAGGAAACAAAAAAATTATTAATAAAGTAATAAGTAATAAACATTTATTTTGCACACACTACCTGTACCCCCCCCCCCAGCATCTCATTTCTTTTCCTGTTCTATACTGTACTGAAGTGGCCATAAATACGCAGAGAGGACGTAGGGTGATTATTTCTTCTATGAGCCATAAAAAAAATCTTGTTCATACTTGGACAATTACCCAGTCCACATCATCAAAATAACTGTTATAATTAGCGGCGCGCACACCCCCCGTTATTTTTTGTAACAAAATACGAAATAATAGTTTAAAAAAAAAAAAAAGTAAATCACTGAAAAGTTGAATCAAGCTGACGTAAACACAGGGTGACAATTTTGGTATACTCACTTCTCTGAAGGACTGAACATAAACACTGTGCTGCCAGGAGCTGCCAAAGAGAATACAAAGAAGTAATATTAACAAAAAGAAGAACACAAGCAATTCAGAAAAAATATATGAAAATATTCTTTTTGTTTCATTTTTTTTTAAAGTAGAGGTTTTGCGACACTCGCAACTGCATAAGGTCATATGAGCGCCAAGGGGTGGATGTCAACTGAGAAGTCCTTACAGGGAATCAGACTTACTCTGCTCACCTCTCTAGCTTCAACAGCACACAGTCTGCTTTGACTATCAAGGCACTCCGGAAATGGTGGGTCACAAGAGAATGACAAACATACAAAAAAAGTAGAGGCAAAATGACAATAGTAAGCATTAGGAAAGAAAAAGCAGCAGTACCCTGTTGTAGCTCAGGCACAGTTATGAGCGTGACATTGATGAATCAGCCCTTTTACAATTCTACTGAGCATGAACGAGAAATGTCCCCCCTTTGGGAATGGCCAAAGGACACTTCAGTCAGTGGCACTGCCCCCGGGGGGTAGTAGAGGTTTTACGGCGCTCGCAACTGCATAGGGTCATATGAGTGCCAAGGGGTAGATGTCAACTGACAGTGCTTCCACCAGCTGAAGCTGAAAAGTAAGAAAAATTCTGCACCAGTAGGGTCCAAGAAGAGCGTCCAAGTGGGAGTTCAGGGGGCGAAGCCCCCAAAGAAATTGAAATTTAGTGCTTTTAGAGGGTTGAAAATGGCATTTGGGAGCCTGTTTGAAGAGATTGCCTACAAACTATAACATTTATTTTTTCACTAACATTTTGTCTTGTTTGATTTTTTCACCAAGACCTACAAAATATATTTCCATTGGTGGCAATGTTTAAAAGCAGGTTCCCCTTCCAATGCTACTATAATTCAATTAATTTGGCATCGCACAATTGATAGAAGGCAAACCTGGGTATAACGAATAGGTATGTAACTTCACAATACAGTTACCTCGCATATACCCTTATTATCCTTAAATTTCACGTCTGAATGTCGCATGTCACAACCTTGGAACACCACTTCGAATTATTCTTGATTTTAGTAGTTTTACGCTGGTTTTAGCATAAATTTCTTTCATCGCGGCCCTTATCGCGTTTCCGTGCCGTAGAATCTTCAACAGTCCGAAGATAGAAAGGAGGAAATTGCAACAAACAGTTCGCCAGATTTTGATCAATCCACAGGTAAAAATGTACTGCCGACCAACCCGCAATGAAAGCACCTCTCTAGCTTCAACAGCACAAAGTATGCTTCCACTATCAAGGCACTCTGGAAATAACGGGTCACAAGAGTGTGACATACATACAAAAAAAGCAGAGGAAAAATGACGATTCGGAAAGAAAAAGCAGCAGTTCCCTGTTGCAGTTCAGGTTATGAGCACAACATTGTTGAATCAGCCCATTTACAATTCTACTGGATAAGAACAAGTTAATGTCCCCCTTTGGGAATGGCCTAAAGAAACTTCAGCCAGTGGCACCGCCCTGGAGGGTTAAAAATATTTAAATTCCCAGTTTTTGCCAGGGTTGCGTTTTCACAGAGTTGCCACTTAGGGTAGAAGAAATCCAACAGCAGACAGAGCAGCCAATATAATAGCAAAGATTTTAAGTTTTCAAAATACAAAACAAAGCATAACACAACCAACCTTGATGCTCATGCGTTTAAATTTAAAACACGTCAAATTTTCAAAATACTGGTGTGATATGAGCCACTGGCATCTGTGATGTAATGGTAAGGCTCTTCCCCACCACATGTAGAAGATGTGAGTTCAACTTCAAAGACAGGAGGTGTTTTTAATCTGATCTCTCCGTCTGCTGGGCCATTGCAACCCTATATACACGAGTTGACAAGCAGGCTATAAATAATCTAAACTGAGTTGACGAGGGCATAAAACACATACAATAACAATTATGATATGAGCCAACATAGCAATTACAAGACACGGATCAGAATCTAACTCCACAAAGAGACAATGACATACACATTTTCTTGAGCTGCTCCTGTGTGTCATCGCTGAGCTTGAATGTGAAAGGGTTCTCCTGGCTTGTGATGATGATGGCGTCACTTTTGTTGACGGTCACCAGGCGCTTAGTCACGTGGGGCTGAAGGGTGGCCACACACTGGAGTGGGGGGAAACACCACAGGTCACGGCAAGGAATGATGACGTTATCAGGCTTGTAAACTTTTTCAAAGCCCAGTCAAGGACACCCAACGTAATAACATTACTCAGATTACGTACCAAAGAAGAACATAACACCAAATGGGACTGATTTTTGGTGTAGTGTATGTTACATCTCAAATTCCCAATGGCCGAATCCCGGACAGTCCAGGAAAATTCAGGACAGTTGGCAAGCTTGCATTATGTTAAAGGGCAGGTGTCATGAGAGGGGGAGGGGGGAGGCAGTCTATGTATTTTCCCTTCAGACTCAACTAACCCTGTGCCTCGAGCATAAGACATGGTGGAGACATATTATAGAAGTGGGGTACTGGTAGGTCTTACCATGTTTCCTGTTCCCTTTTAGCTAACCAAATTGACTCTGAGCCCGGTGTCTGAGATGAGATAAGGAGGGAGAAGGACACCAATTTTTTATTTTATCCATATGCTTTCATCTGGAACTGGAGCAGATGGGAACAAATTCCTCCCCTTCTCAATAAGGAATTAACTCTGGGTAATTCTTTCATGAAGTATGCACACACATACACACACACTGAGAGGGGAGCAGTGAGAAGTCTCACATGAATCTATAATGAAGGACATCCCACAGGGGGTCATCGGCATCATAGTCTAGCATAAAACTATAGTACAGTCCATTTAAACCAAAATCTGTGGAACTGCTAGATTTTCTTCGGTTTAGCTGGGTTTTCAATATTTAGAGAAATTGCTCTTTTTAATATCTGTGCATCTGTTGTGCAAATAGGGTTCCAAATGTATTACTATTCATCATACTGGGCAGAGATTTAAGAACAATATACTCTGCTGACAACTGTTACATGTAAAGTGTTTTGTATTATCAATGACTACATTAGAGTTACTCATAGAGAAACACTCATGAGTTGTTCAGGCAGCAAAAAAAGATTTAATCATAAACAAAAATTAATCCATCTGTCTATCCATTCACAAACAAACATCTTTACTAAGATGACAGGAAAAAAATAAGGAAAAAGCTTTTTATCTCACCTCTTGTGTGATTCTGAAATCACATTCAGGTACTAGTGGTGATGGACTGCGACTGAACGTCTTCACTCCCATGTTGATAAACTATTATGTAAAGAGGAAATTAGGAGAAGTCCGTTACGACATATTCATGATTCTACGGATGTCTGGTTAGAGGGCCAGTGGCTGTACTGTAATCGACAAACTTAACATATCAAAGATGTGAATCTTTGTTATCGACAACCTCAGAAGACGAACAATTTTAATTCCTTTTCTCTTCCGTGAACTGAATTTAAAATGCAAGCTACATACAATACGCATGCAATGAAATATTATGCATAATATTATATTTAATTCATGTATGATTTAAAACATTTCAAAATAAGAAGAAATAAAATTGTTCAGACTGAGATCAATAAATGGTTAACATAAACAGGCAAACTTTTTACACTTCACAAGATAATTGTAATTTAAAAGACTATAAACAGTAAAGAAAAAAAAATGGGGAATGAGTATTCATACTTTCCCAGAGAAAAGCCATCACGGTGTTGTAAACCTCAAGACAGACAACAGGACATTATTTGGGAAAAAACCCAAAAAAACCAAAGTGTCTGAAAATCATCTTGGCACAAAAGACCAATAGAAAGAACCAATACACCAAACTTTCCAAACTCACCCTGATTCGGTTCTCGTTGCACCTGACAATGTCTCTGATGGCCTGTGACACATAGTACAGTGATCGCTTCCCCTGTTCCGAGCGGTACAGAATGAGACTGGCTGGGAAATCTTCCCCTAGGCCGAAAAAATCTCTGAAACAAGGAATAACAAAACCATGAACATCCTCACCAAATGCATAAAGTTGTCTGAAAACCAGACAACCACGTTAGAGTATAGTAAGACATTTCACATATGAACAGCCAATAAAAAAAACTGCAAGGGTGTATATTATCACCAAAGACATGAATGGACATTTGGAATGTAAATCAAAGGAGCTTTTGTGAAGTCAAGAAAGCCTTCTGAGGGATACAAGACTATAAATAAGCACTCCAAACATTTTTTTATTCAACAGCAGTTCCTTTTTTCAGAGGTCATACCAGCCCGAGTTCTTCGTCTCCTCCTGAAACCTTGACTTTTTCAGAATTCATTTCAGAAAAAAAATTTACCTCCCCCAAAAATAATATATTCTACATAAAACTTTTGTCAGTTTGAAACACATTACACTTTTTTACCTTATTGGAGGCCACACAGGATCTTCAGCTGTCATGAAGAGGAAGGGATCTTCCTTGTAGCCATACATTCGCTGTTTCTTTGGCTTGGGTCTGCAGAAAAAAAAGTACAGAGTGAGTTAGCTTTTTAAGTCCTACTTCCTTTCTTTCTCAGCTTTTTTTTTTCTTTCCGATTGTCCAGCATTTTCCCTGAACTAATACCCGCTACCATGTTGACATGCTTCTCTTTATTAAAACAAAATAAGTTATACCAAGTAGGTTCATCTCTATAGCACCCACTTTTTGTCTTTGTGACTTGCCTCATATCAGTGTCTTTTGCAGATATATAATCATGTAGCCTACCATTTGAGCTTTTTTTATTCATTCCAAAAATCCATGTAAAAAAGAGCTATGTACATAACTGCAAAAAGTTCTTCTTTCACTTTCCGCACTTTCGACAATCCAATATGGAAAAATGAATCGCATGTCATGGCAATTACAAAACAGTGGAGGATGGAGCTTCCATTAACAAACAATCATCTTTGATAACTATGGTTGGATTTCAAAGATCTGTATTATGCATTCTGTTACAATTCTACCCATGACTGGGGAAAACAAAAACCCCAACTTGAAATTATAGCACATAGTTGAAGGGCCAACCATGGACAGAGAAAGAGAGTGAGCCCGCTGCCCCTCACATCTTTATTAAACACCCTGCAAAGAAGAGAGAGTTTGTCGTCCTTACTCTTCCCCTGACTGAGGTGCCTTTCTCTTGTCACCGCCTGTCTCAGTAGCCTCTTCCACTGCTGCTGACTGGGCTGTCTCAGTCTCAGGTACTGACTCGCTGCTCTTTACTGTTTGCTCCGATTCTGTTGGCGCTTGCTCCTCTGCAGTAGAGGCTGAAAAGACAAAGGTATGTGTGTATATAATATACAGTTGAAATTGTCTACGGCGGCCATCCATTGTCAAGAAGAAAAGGGGTCCTCTTAAGCAGGTGAGCACCTTACACAGTGTCATTATAATAAAATACATCTCTACCTGTATCACCTGTCCTGGGCAACAACGTCATTGCACACCGGACAGGTCCATAAGTGCTCAGTTTCCCCCCAGCACCAAAGCCCGCAAGGTATCCATACCGATTGTTCCGGTGGCTGTCTGATTATGGCGAAGTCTTTCCTTTCCAGATAATCGTTCCTTTCTTCCTTCTCCCCTCTCTATCCCCATTTCCCGCATCCTAATGATTGCGTGGTGTTCTGCTGTCTCCCTGTCTTCTTCATCCCGCCACTTTTTCTCCAGGGTCTTCAACACTTCCCCTTTGTCAAATTTCACCTCACTATCAACCACGGCACTGCCTGCCAGCCTATCAGCCTCCCCATTGCCTTTCACTCCAGGGTGCCCAGGACAGAATATCCACGTGATGGCTCTAAGTGATGAGTGTTGCATTGGGTTCATCCATTCACTCCAAAGAAGCCCTTTCTCAACCCTTCGCAAGATGCTCTGGGAGTCTGTGACAAGGATGAGATGAGTAGTTCTTGGTCTTGTATTATGAAGCCATCCAAGCGCTCTTGTCACGACCTCAATCTCCATTTTCATGCTTGAAGTTGTTCATTCTATGGCCCCTGACATGCCATGAAACTTTTTGTTCCCACTGTACACCACAAAACCCCATCCACTTCTCTCACCCTTCCTAACTAATCCATCCGTATAGATCACTGGGTCCTCTGGCTTGAATGCTCCTCAATTAACTGTCGTATATCATTGTCGTTAATGACAGCAGCACATTCCCGTCTTTCACGACCCAAAGTGATGTGAACGTTGGCCAGGCTTCTGAAATAGGGGCTCGGTTCAATCCATTCCTTTCCACAGCATATTTCATCGAAGCCACAAACTTTCCTCAAGGAGTCTTTGGCTTCTGCCATCCATGAGCTGCCCCGCTTGATCCTGTTTCCCTTGATGCTGCCCAGGTTGTCATGCAAAGGGTGCCTCGGGTCTCCCAAAACATTCAAGTACAGTTTTGCCTGTGCCACCTTATGCCTCACTCTGATGCTGGCCAGGTCAAGGATGTATCTCATACAGACAACATGGGTGTCCTTTGTGCAACCTAGAACGGCCTTCATAGCTGCATTCTGTACTCTCTACAACCTGTCTATCTGAGTCTTGGACAGGGAGAGGATGCCCAGCCCATAGTCTATGACTGACATAACCACCAGCTGCATTAGGAGAAAAAGAACTCTCTGTTGAATTCACGCTGAAACCAAGGTCTTCACTACATTGATGCCTTTCTGAGCCCTGACAGCAACATTGTCAATATGTCTTCGGAACGAAAGTGTCCTGTCCAGAGTGATTCCCAGGTACTTCAGCTCATGCTGTCTGTCTATGAGAAAGTGGTCAAACACAATTGGAGGCGCAGGATCTTTCACAATATGGTTGTTGAGTGAGCACCAGATGACCTGTGCTTTGTCTGAATTGATGACCGCATTGTATTCCTCACACCAATCTGCGACCTTGCTCTTCCTGTCCAGTAGCATCCGTCCAACCGCTAGCCTGTCACGACCTTGTCCGTAGACCCTCACATCATCTGCAAATGTTAGGATTCTTCCTGCTTCACTTACACCGATCCTGGCAATTTTGGATGTATATATGTTGAACAGAACCGGTGATAATGCTGATCCTTGTGGCCGTCCTGAGGCAATCACTACTGGGTCTGACATCCATCGCCCACTGATCAGCACCACCTTCCTCTCAAACAGAGAGGAGATCCATTTTATCAACCAGGAATCAACATCCATTTCCATCAGGAGATCCATGAGCTTGCCGTAATCAAGTCGGTTATAAGCATCCTCTAGGTCTATAGCAGCCATTGCTGTCTCCTCCTTTCTCTGGAACCCTTCAAATACATCAAAGGCTAACACAGCCGTGTTTGTGCAGGTGTCTTTCCCTAGTCTGTAGCTTCCAAGGCCGTCTGGAAGGAGCTTTTTCCTCTCTAGGTAATTTGCCAGCGTTTTGGCCACAATCTTTTCCAGGATCTTTCCATACGTGTTCTGCATGGTGATGATTCTGTATCCCTTGATGTTAGAGTGGTCTTTGCCTGGTTTAGGAAGAGGCATGAGGTAGCTGTGTAGCCACTCCTCTGGGATCTTGCCTTTGGCCAGACTCTCGTTGAAGTCCGCCACCATGCCCTGTAGATCTTTTTCATCTGCATCCTTAAAATGGCTGTATCTCACCCCATCAGGCCCTGCTGTACTATCTTATCTTAGTACAACCTCCCAAGTAGACACACCTTGCTTTTCCTTGATCTTATTAAACGGTGCGTCTTAAAGGCCATAATGTCTTGTGACAAGTTTAAAACATTAAACCAAAGAGGCAACTCCCAGTGGTCCAGGCTTCTACCCAAACTGACGAGTGGCCACGCCTAGGGGCTAGTTGATGCACGCAGATGTGAGGAGTTTCTCATCTAAACAAGTATACATGAGAACAAAACTTTGTAGGCAGCTTCTCCGTTGGAAGCTACATTCCTTTGTCATTGTTTATGTCCATTCTTCATCTTCAGTCAAAGCACATATTCTGAAAGTAACAGAGTCAAAGTACAAATGTGGAAAGGCCAATCAACACACCAAACTGCTCCCAGAATATTATTGATCTACTAACGCAGAGACATACTTGACCTAAATTTTGTCAACAGGGCATGAAAATTTATTAGGTAGCGTAAACACAGTCTCGCGGGCACTTGAGTCTTTCAATGAAATCGGGGTAATTCAGACCGCTGTTTCTTTGCTTTTTCGCTATAAAACAGCAAATAACCCCCCCCCCCCCCCCACCAGGGCAGTGCTATTGACTGAAGTGCCCAAAGGGGGCACATTAACCATGTTCTTATGCACAGCAGAATTGTAATTGTAAATGGGTTGATCCATCAATGTCATGCTCATAACTGTGTCTGAACTGCAACACGGAACTCCTGCTTTTTCTTTCCTAATCCTTACTATCATCATTTTTCCTCTACTTCTTTTGTACGTGTGTCACGCTATTTCCAGGGTGCCTTGATAGTCGAAGCAGACTTTGTGCTGTTGAAGCTAGAGAGGTGAGTAGAGTAAGTCTGATTCCCCGTAAGGACTTCTCTGTTGACATCCACCCCTTGGCGATCATATGACCTTATGCAGTTGCGAGCGCCGAAAACCTCTACTAGAACAAACACCAAATGCTGTACACCTTGAAAAAGTTCGGCTTGTCCTCATTACAGTGGTGAATGTTGTTTGTAGGCCGTCGAGTCCGAATAACATTTTTTCATATTCGGACTCGAGTCCAAATAAAAAAGTTTCTTATTCGGACTCGAGTCAGAATATGAAAAAATGTTATTCGGACTCGGGTCCGGAAAAGAGGAAGTGTCTTCGTTCTATAGGTCATACGTTAAGTGCTTCCAATTTTCCGCCATTTTTTAGTTTCCCCCACACCTTATCTGCCAATCAAATGCCCGCCGCCTCATTGATATGCCCCCCGCCCCCCCATGTTTTCCACTTTCTTTGTTGTAGAAAAAGGTAAAATTGAAGATAAGCAGACCACCTGGCACCTTCACATTATGAGCTGTGTAAAAAAAAAAGACCGATTCGTTCAAATACACAAGCCTTGTCATCTCGATTGTTTACCAAGAAAAAGTTATGTTGCTGTGTAGAGCCGAGCATACGGCAACTTTTGATTCCATAGACCAGCGCACAATTCATTACGTAGATCTACGTCAAGACTAGCTTATTATTGTAATAATGATCAGTTGCCGGGGGATAAAAGACAGACGCGTATGCGACGTTCAACGCCCGGACCGATAGTGCCCCCCCCCCCCCCCTTCCCGACACGCACACACAGCGACACTTGTGCAGGCCGCCCTTCCGACCCCCGACACACGCTAACGAGCCATCTTTAATTGCTTCTGGTGACCTCTTGACAAATAAACATTCATTAGAAGCACTATAACTTTTCAGGCCGGCCTCAAATTCATTGTAAGATAGAAACTCGGCTCCTGCACAAAACGCCATTTTGCCCGAAGTGATCCCGGTCTCTACCCAGCCTGAGGCTAGTCACGAGTGAGGCAGGACAGGAAGCCGGAGTCACGAGTCACAGGAAGTCGGAAGTCGGAAGTGATGTCATGCTGGACAAGAATCAGAGTCCGAATAACATTTTTTCATATTCGGACTCGAGTCCGAATAGTCACTTCGTTGTTTGTATATCCAAGTATTTGGATCTGCAGAATCGCCGTGGAAGGCAAATCCCCTCCCGGTTAGAATGCACGACCGGCCGGTTAAAATATTGACACCCATGCATTCAGTACACTACAGTATAGAGCCGACTCGCTCGCCGTGGGGGCCGGAGCGGCACCGGCCGGGTCAGCACTTGGTGTTTTTAGCAAAATAAAGACAGATTATCGTGTTTGAGGCGATATAATACTGAATTGCTATGATGTCAAAAAAAAAATAGGCTCCATAACTATGTTATAGTGATTGTACTCTGTTAATGTGGAGATATTTGGTGCACTTGGTACTCTTTTATTATCTGTCAAACATAAGGTTGCCGCCACTTAGCGATTAAGCAATATTTTATCAAATTTAAAACAGCAGCCATTTTCTTTAAAATTGACTGAGAGGTAAAATAATGGTGCCAAATTCTCAGGAGATACAGGCCTTTCATATGGAACAGATAAATTTGGCAAACAGCTACTTTGAAAATTTAGTTTCTGGAACCTACATTTATTGAAGAAAAATTAAATTTCAAACTTTTTTTCAAAAGGCTAAATCTTCACATACCTGCCTCAGCAGCCTTAGCGGTTGCCTCTGCCTCCAGTCTGGCCTCCCTGGATCCCGGCAAGTGACGAACTTTCTGCAGCGCTGCCACAAAAAAACCTCCAGTGTTCTGCTGGTGGGGGAGGATACGGATACTGAAACAAACATGAGAACCAAGGTAAGAGGTTTTTTTCGGTGGATGGGGGGGGGGGGGTGAGTGTGTGTGTGTGTGTGTGTGTGTGTGTGTGTGTGTGTGGGGGGGGGTGTGTGTGTGAGAGGGTCCACTAAAACCTGGTAATTATAATGTTTTATGACCCAAGTTACACAATTCAGATTCCCACGAAGGCGAGCTGTTTCAACCCTGCCCGCCAGGACCAGCCTAGAATACAACATTCCAGCAAACAGAAAAACTCGATAAAATAACTTACCCACATGGAAACTGAATTCACATCTTCTGCATGAAGCAGCATAAAGCCTAACTAGCAGACCGCAGACATTGCTAATAACAACTTCTTCAGAGTTAATCTCAGTCGATACTTATTTTATGCTAGGGAAGCAAAATCACCTGAAAGGAGAGGGTAACAAAACATTTCTACTTAAGATTGCTAAAACAACAACCGAGATGTGGTCAGCTGTGGAAAGGGGGGAGGCGAGAATACACAAGTCCTAACAACCACATGTTTCAAAGTTGGTCCTAAATTTAATTTTTCAACATTGAAGCTCCAGAAGATCATTAGCCACCTGCAGGGATTCAAACCTTATGCAAATGACAATTTGACTGGCACAGGTATCTCAAGAAAAAATTGATCACAAAAAGATATAAATTTACCATTTGTCCAGGTGGAACTTCTCTGCTTCTTCTGGTGTTGGGGGGAAAATCGTGAGCTTGACCTGAGTCTTCATCGCTGGAGGGAGCTCCTCAGCACTCTCTATCCATTCACCCGCTTTAGTCATCACCTGTTTCAGATGTTTTTAGTCCAATAGACGTTTAAGCAAAGTGGAATACAAATTGGCACCAAGTGCACATTATGTGAAAAAAAAAATGTTAAGAAAAAAAACCCTGAAAGGACAAAGACAAAGACAACAGACAACTCATTCAGGTGGTTTGAGGGTGCCACTAATAGGTCCTACTTTTCTATTCCGGTATTTTTTCTGGATGTCTTCCTTACTTTTTCCCACCACTATACAACACTTACTATGCTAACTTGCTTTTCAAGTTTCAAACTCACATTTTATGTGGATAAAACCATAGTAAACTTAACTCACTGACTGCCAGGCTCGTTGAGCCTCAACAGCGGTGGTCTGCCGGGGTTTTTAGAGTGTTTTTAAAAAACCGTAACTCAAAAACTATTGTACTTAGGGATTTGAAATTGTGTGTGCTGTGCATTTACATGCCTAGTGTACTTATGCCAAATATCTTTTCAATATATGCAATAGTTTTTTAAAACTATTTTTTGAAAAATGGTCAATTTTTTATTAAAAAATAAAAACGTGAAATCAACACATGTCGTTGTTCATTGTTATATTATTTGTTTAGGCTAGTTGTGCTGTGTTTTATGTTGTTTTTGACACAAATATAAGTCTTCATTAATTTTTACACCAGGGAAGGTCATCAGGTATGAAATCAGGAAAGTTAGGAAAGTTAGTAAGGTCTTCAGACCATTTACCCTCCGGTAAGGGTGCGCTAGCCATTGTAGGCCTAGATCTAGCATCTCCTCCCTGTGTAGTCTTTAATTATTTTGCTATGTCTAGACCCCTTTGCAGCCTTCTTATGTGTGCTTGGCTGATCAATATCTAAGTCTGATTCAATATCAGTGGACACGGAGTTATCCAGATCTAGTACCTAGCATCTGCGTTGGTTGCAAAAATCGAAAAAACCGGGTATAAAAAAACGTGAAAAAAAGAAAAGAAAAAGAAACAGAACCTCTTTACTTTTAGAAAGAAAGTTTATTTTCACTTCCGCTTCCCTTCTTCTCTTTCTTACTTGTTGATCCCACATTTATTTTTTATTTTCATGTGGAAAAAAAAAAGTCTTGTACATTACACACTACATGTATTTATATTGCTGTTTTTCTTTTCTTTTTTTCTCTTTGTTGTGTTTTAATTTGCTGGTGTGTTATTTCCTTTTCTTGTTATTGTTGTGATATGTTTTCTATTTTTGTGTGTGTGTTTATCATAATGTCAATATCATTTAATTTGATGTTGTTCCTACCTTTAAAAAAAAAATAAATAAATGTGTTATGTTAGAGCGGGTCTCCACCAAAACCGAATACATGTACTGACACTGGCAGGCCCCTTATTGTTTGTGATTCCATCATTTACATGTAATATCCCATACTTTTTCTTGAATAACACATGTTTAGGGTTAAAACGGCCACTCTTCGGAAAGGTGGACACACGCCCTCATTTGTTAATTTTTGTGGTTGTTTATGTTCTGTTCTAATTGTGATTTCATTCTGTTGTGAAACCTTTATTTCTCACATTTTTACACTCTGTGTGGCTACAAATGATCTTCTGTATGCTTGAAACAGAACACAAGATATTCTGGTGCATTAGATTAAATTACCTCTATCAACATATTGCTATATATTTGTCGTCACAGAGAGTTGAAAGTTTGAAAATTATTGGCAAATTTTAAGGCAATTTTTGCCATTTTTGAGGCAACTTTTGGACATTAAAATGGCAACAAACGCAATTTTTTTACGTAATCTCATCCCGGATACGCTCCGGTAACGGCAGTCAGTGAGTTAAACCCAGCCATCAAGTGATTCAATTCAAAGACATGATGGAAAGAAGTAAATCACAAGAAAACAAAATTCAAAGGAAAAGAGTAAAAGCACACTGATAGATCCTACTTTTTTTCTTTCCCTCTGCCGTTTCTGTCAGTATTTCTTATTTTTTTAACTTACACTAAATGACTGCTTTGGTGCTTGGAAGGCGCCACTGGAAGATAAAACTTTTCTTTTCCTGTTGTTTCTGAAAATTTCTATTTTTTCCCCTGCATAAACTAAATCTTATCGGATGGATGTGCTACTATTCATGAATGCTATTGCATCAACGCGTTTCTTTTCACTCAAACTAAAAGGTTATGGTGAGCTCCATCAGTCAAAATGTGGACAGTAACACGGTTTTAAAAACAATTTGTTTTGAGTTACTCCGACACAAATCCAGAAACCATGAACGTCTCTTTTTTTCCCCCCACAATAGATGTCTTTATAGTGTAGGTGTACTTCTCTTTCCCTGTACTTACAATGTTTTTATATGTATGCTTATGTTGGATTTCTGAACAGGACCACTCAAACACGCCCCAATTGGTTTCCATTTACAAGTACTTGTAGCACAATGGAGGTAAGGGGTAAACTCACACTCTACGTGGACAGTCCTTTGGTGAACTTAAGGCTCAGTGTCAGGCGAGTTACAAAGAAATTTTGCGAAAAAAGTGAATATACAGAACCCATAATAGAGCAAGAAACAAAACTGAAATAACAACAATGGCTAGAAGTACAAAAATCTCTCCCACCCTCCCCAACGAAAACCTTTGGTGAAACTGAAACCCAGTACCAAGCAAGATAAAATGACATGTTGCACAGAGTAAGATCTACAGCAACAACAAAAACTAGAACAACATCCCCTCATCCTCTGTGTGCTGCTTTCTTCAAACTCACCCACAACACGGACCCACTCTTTGGCGTACTTGAGAATCTATCGCTAAAAATAACATTAATAAGAAAAAATAATGATGTAAAGAAGAGAAATCTCCCTCACCCTCCAAGAGGACACTCCCTTGGTAAACTTGAGTCCCGGCAACATGTCCTGAATGTCCACCAGCTCCATGGCCCCCTGGGAACTCCTCAGCATCTCTGCAATGACCGCCTCGTCTTCCGCCGGGTTCAGTGAACAGGTTGAGTACACCAGACGGCCGCCCACTGCAAGAATCTGGCAACCCCTTCGCAAGATTTTTAACTGGAGACTGGCAATGAATAGAAGGCATAAACATATAACACTCAAACAAATCAAAGCAGTAAAAATGCAACTTTTAACAAAAACATGTTTTTATCAAGTGACCTTCAATATTAGAATGCAGTCTGAAAACTCCCAAACAAGTTGACAAATAACACCATACCAAAATTACAAAAACCAAAAATAATATTTGACGAAACGAAATATAAAATTTTTATATAAGAATGTCACCACTAAACTTTAAAAATTACCTATCAGTGTTTACATTTCATCAAATTGATAAGAAACAGCAGCCCAATAATTCAGAGAGACAACTACAGTAAAAGAACTGCTCAATAAGAATGCTTCCTATTCTAGCTTTGGTCTAACCTACTCTGTTTTGACAAGCAGGTATGAAGAAGAAAGATATATGTTAACAATAATGTTTTCAGAATTTAATCCATACATGTATTAAACAAAGCTTTACATCCCTGTAAAGAAATCAATATTTTAAAAAAATTTAATTGAGTTCTTTTATATAAGCCAAAAGATTAAATAAAGCTCAGGGTTTCTGCGTAAAAATGTGAGAAATTGTACAAGTTTAACATCCCTTGCAACATGGTAATGTGATTTAAAAAACAGGGCCACCAAATTTAATAACCAGATGGGAAGATTCGCTTAAGGTGCCTTTCCCAGGGACGCATCTGCCGACTGAGTTGAGCTTTAAACCCCTGAACAAGCAATTTCAAGATTATGAGTCCAGTAGCCTATTTATTAGACTATTGGCGCCACCCTGTACATCTCTGTAACGAGATCTAAAATTTTAAGTTCAGTGCCCTTGTGTAAACTATATCTTACATGAGATCTATACTTTTAATTCTAGCGCCATTTTGTAAACACAAGAAAAGAATTAATTAGGCTCTACTTCTCTGTAATGGGATGCTTATTTTTTATTCAACAACATCAACTTGTAAAAAAAATTAACAAATAAAGCAGTACATCTCTTTAAGGAAATCTATAGTGTTAGTATTACAATGTCAGTTTGAACATGAAATGATTAAACAAAGCTCTAATCTAATAATAGGGTGGAAATCAAGAGCCAGCCTAATGGTCAGACGGGGTCAGCGTCACAACCTGGGCTTGACCACATGGTTTCATCAGTTGAGCCTCGGTACAGAGGGTTGAGGCTCGAGTCCCACAAGGTGGACCACTAACCATGCACCACAGCTCTAGAGGCACAGCCACCTTACCCGTGCATGTTAGCACCTTGCAGAGGGTGCCACTTGCTCCAAACATCAAAGTTCTTCCTCATGGTGCCGTCGCCACTGGAATGAAAAAATAGCATCTTTTGAATCTTGAGTTCAATTTTAGTAAGAGTTTTACGGCACTTGCAATACATGTAGGTCAAAAACCGTACTCAAGATAATAGTTATTACCAGAGAGCAACAAACCAAAAAAAAGTAGGAGAGGTAAGGACGATTGATGTAGACAGGAAAGGGGGAGCAAACCATACCAGAGCACTCGCCAGCCACCCACTTAGGTTGAGTTAGACAAAAAAGAGCTTTAGCTTAGTTTTAGTTGAGGTTTGTTTTTGTTTTAGTAGAGGTTTTACGACGCTTGCAACGGCATAAGGTCATATGAGTGCCAAGGGGTGGTTGTCAACAGAAAGGTCCTTACAGGGAATCAGACTTACTCTCCTCACCTCTATAGCTTCAACAGTACAAAGTCAGCTTCCACTATCAAGGCACCCCGGAAATAGTGGGTCACAAGAGTGTGACAAACATACAAAAGAAGTAGAGGAAAAATGACATAGAAAGCAGCAGTTCCCTGTTGTAGACCAGGCACAGTTATGAGCGTGACATTGAAGAATCAGCCCATTTACAATTCTATTGTGCATGAACGAGAAATGTCCCCCCTTTGGGAATGGCCAAAAGACACTTCTTCATCTTCTTCTTCAGGCATCAGCTCTGGAGCAGGCACTGACGACCATGGTACCCCATTCCTTTCTGTTGTCAGTCTTTTTGTGTTGTTAGTTGCAAAATTGTTCAAGTCATCTGTGCATGTTGTTCTCAGTCTTTCTCTGCTCTTCTTTCCACACAGCAGCAGTCTCCCAAGTCCATTTGATCTCTTTATGTGGCTAAAAAAAATCTCAATTGTCTTTTTCTTACGGTTCTCATTTTATAGATCTTTTTAAATCAAACAAGCAACAGTTAAGAAAATATACTACAAACTATAATTTGGTACAGTCGCTCCCTTTCTTAAGGGGCTCTCGACAATCTGTTCACAAACATAGAAGGAGAAATCAAAGAAAGAATTGAGCGTTTCATACAAAACATGCTCACAACAGAAACAGAACAGCATACCACTTCAAAGCAGGCCACTTCTAAAAGAAACAGCAGAAAACAAAAAAGAGCAAGAAAAAACTCTGATCTACTCCATGTGTCTCACCCACCTGCAAGGAACGTCACACAAAACACGGTCAAAGAGCTGGAACTGGGGATTGTGCTCCTGAAAAACAAAGTTCATTGAAAGTGTTGACTTAAAAATTCACTGAAAGGCTTTGTGACAAAATGGGCTACCTTCAATGTTCAAACTTCAACTCCTACTAAATTAAACTTCAACTTTTTCTCCTTTAGGTCATAAAAAGGATCTTTCATCTTTATAAAATTAAAACACTTTATCACTGAACTTGCTGCCGCAAATGATTTTCACTGCTTCGATTCAGTTTTTTCTTCAACAGAATAAAGATCGAGAAAAAATTACAAGCTGTTTCCACTTCTTGGATGTACAAAATACATTATGGCAAAAGGCCCTCCACTTTGTCAACTGACAGAAGATAATCCACGGCTCAAAGTACAGTCGAACCTGCTATGACGGCTACCAGTATAATACTGCCACCTGTACAAATGGCCACTTTCCATTTCCCCCTTCCGTTTTTTCTGTATTATTAACTGTGTAAAATGGTCACCTGTCCAACGCAGCCACAGCCACTTTTTTTATCAACCCACTGTCAAATTTACCTGCTTCAGGCGGCCAAGCGTGGTCACTCATTGCCTAACGCTTTGCCATAAATTTTTAATCGGCCCTTCACGCCGTGGACGGGCCATCATAATTCATTCACATGTCGTTTTTGACAGTTAGTCCCTCCAGTGAATGTTTACCCAAGGTGACAAATGGTAGGCCTAACAAAAACTTTTAAACTGCTGGCGAGGGAAGCTTGAGCTGTCATGACCTATAAACCCCCGCCCTTAACTCATGCACAAATTGTGTGTGAGGTTACTGATCACTTGTTTACCTAATCTGTAACAAGGTAACAATGGACGTTGACGAGAACTTGCGACAGAAACATTGTTTGTTCTCTGAGTGGTGGCGACCTATGTGTTTGTTCTACCATGGCACTCTGTCTTCACCATCTTACATAATATTTTGTTTAGTTTACCCTTGCACAAAATCAGCAACAAAAAGAAAGCTTACCAAAAAACAAACCAACAAAACAACAAAACACCACCAAAAAACCTTCTTACACCCCCACCCCCCCCCCCCTTTCAAAAGAAAACAAAAACCCGTTTGAAGCAATCTTAAGTGTGAGATCGAGTCCTGGTTTGGACCTCAGAAGAGAATGATTTGCTTGCTTCATTTTGACCAGTCCTGCCTAAGACGGCCACCTATGTCATACAGCAACTTTTCTCCTTGACAACAATGGGTGGCCGTTTTACACAGGTTTGACTGTATATAAAACACAAGTTTCATGAAAACTGTTTTCCCTGGAGTTCTGAGACAACAAAATGACATAAGTATGCATATTTTACTAAAGATAGCACAAACATAACACACCATACCATAACAATGGCAGCCATCACAACATATTTGACATTTTCAAACACAATAACAAACTGACATTAACTCACTGGAGACAGGGCCTTTTTCGGGTCTACATACGCTGAAGACAGTAATTTTTGGGGGTATTTCAACATTTCAAGCAACACCCTTCCTAATGACATACAACTACCAGTTTTACACACATAACAGGTCTAAACATGCCCAATATGACACTAAAAAAAAAGAAAGGCAATATCTTTTTTTAGTTTTTTAGAAATTATTTTTTGAAAATGTGCTAAAATTTGTCGCTCATCAAATTTTTTGACATGTCTAGAGGTAACACCCCCCCCCCCCCCTAAATTAACCTTGTGTGTGTCCTTTATTGTGCTTTGTGTTTCAAAATGAATTTTTAAAAGTCCAAACTCATGAATAAGCAGGTAATCAATACGGTAATCCTTTTATATGTATTGGCTGTCTAATCCACTTCAGTGTGAAAAAAACAGGGCTCCAGACAAAGCGGAATTTTGCATTTGAAAGCCTCGTCTCGAACTAGAACATTCTCTTTCAGAATCAGAGCTTTGAAGCTCATTTACATTGAAATCAGGATCCCCATGGTCTGAAATATCATAATCAGAATTTTCTGAACTGTCAAAGTCATCAAACACTTGAAAAATGTTTGCTTTTTCGTGCTACCAAGTGAGTGGTTGGCAGGTGCTCTGGTGTGGTTTGCTCCTTCTTTCCTATCAAACAACGAAACGAAACAAAGGTCGGCTGCACGGTAAGAGACAGTTCATGCAGCGTTTGCGCGCATACTTTACCGAGGAGAAAACGCGAAACTTTTGCTCGCAGGGGGTACGTGAATAACCTCTCTGGAAAATATTGGTGCTTGCAAATGCTGCGTGAAACGTCTCCAGCGAGTTAAAAGATAGTCACTGATGATAAGATATGATTTAGAAAATCAAGCAAATGGAGAAAGAACATTATGCTTATGTTTAGCACGTGGAGACAACTCATTACTCTTACAAGTTATAATTACATTGAAAGAACACATTACGCTCATTATGGTAAACACACAGAAAGAAGACAAGCTCACATCTGCGTTGGTGCGTATCTTGGGGAAGACAGTTCCATCATGGTTGACCACCATACAGCAGGGGCTCTGCAGTCTCTTCACCTGATGCACCATGAGGTAACACCTCTTGTTGTCTGTGTCATTCGCAATCACGTAGCCTGACGGCAGCTCACCTAAGGACAAACAATTTGGAGTAAATATAAGCACATTGACACAATAACAGTAAGTAATGGTGGTGAGTTTTATTTTGTATTTGTAGAGAGAAGCAAGTCCACACAATGATGGTCATTAAGTTCGAGAAAATGTAAGACAGACACACAAAAAATAACAAAGAAGAAGGACCTATTAGTCAGACAGAAACAACAAAGGGCCACAAAGAAGTAGAGCCCACCAAGGATGCCGTCCAATCATCCACCAATACAACAACTACAATGGAAAATTTCTACAAGACCAAAAAAAATCCTAAACAATAAAACTGACCAGGGAATGCAAAATGTTTCTTCTTAGCTAACCAGTTTCCTAAAAAATATTATAGGAGAAAAAATAAATAAGTGAATAAAATACAGCAAAGTAAAAAAAAAAGCTCACTTGGTCAGCCGAAAGAAAATCCTGAGCAGGCAAATCCCCGAACACACAAACAATAAATACCCTGCATCGAGTTGCTACAGAGCTACAAAGTGACCTAAAAACATTAATTTCTGTGGAGGAGCTCACCTTGTGGGCAGTCACTGTGCATGTACTCAATTAGCTGTGCAGTTTTGGAGCCAGGGGACGCACACATGTCCAGGATCTGGAAGCATAAAAACACACAGAAAACTAAACTCAAGACATTTTATTCTTGAAGACAGCGCATGATTTGAAACAGATGTTGACGATCACAGTTCTGAAAATGAAACTTTTAGTGAGAAGGTAAAAAACCTAGGTATTTACTTTGACCAATCACTTATAAATGTAAACAAATGTATTGTGAATTAGTGAGAATATTATGTTAAATTTCTGACCTTCTGAATCAAAGTTCTCTCTAGATTCTCATCCGAGCATTTCTTTTTATCAAGAATTGATGACTGTAATTCCCTTCTTGTCATTTTAAGTTTGGAAATTATTAACAGACTGCAGTAGTTCTAAAATAGAGCTGCTCGATTAATCTTAAGAAAAACCCAAAAAGTACACACATCACACCTTTATTAATAAAGTTACATTGGAGTTACATTGGCTACCTGTTAAAGATAGAATCTATTAGAAAATTGCTTATTTATGTCACAAGTGCATAACAACTAAGCACCACAATATCATGAAGACCTTATAGTCATATCATGTGCCATCAAGACATTTGAGTGAGTGTGTCAACCAGTTAACCCTACAGACCCGAGCACACACCTAGCATACAGCAGAGTATATCCCTAGTAATCGATGCATAGGACCTTAGGGGTGCAGAACCAAAGTACCAATTAGTTCTTACCTTGTGGTGTGACTTTATGTCCATCACCAGAGGTGGAATCATGCTCACAGCCTCCTGTCTGCTGATGGCTCCCTGAAATAGTTACATATTCTATCATTCAACCATAGAAAATATGATCAATTTCTGTATAACAGCATGGGCCAGCAACACAATACAATAAGATAAAGAAAAATTAAATCGATTAAAACACACAGCATGCAAAATTTCAACATCTACATTCCCCTACTTGAATTAATTGTAGGCCTACATTACAGCTTGCACTCAAAAAATTAATTCCATCTTTTTGGACAATTAAAATCCCCAGTTCCCTCAAATAAAAATACATGTCAGAAGTAAAAGACCTTGACTTCTGATCTGTAACAAAGAACTAATTTTTACCATTATTCATCAAAATTCTTCCATCTTAACAATCATATCTTTGTGACTTGGTCATCGAAATACAGCAAAGGAAGAAAGGAATGATTATGAAGTAAGAAAAGATGGAAAGGGCACCTTCAGGTAAACCCCAGTCTAAATCATTTAAGAAACTCACAGAAGGAGGTGGAGCAAAAATAGGAAAAATGAGGAAACAAAGAAGAAAAAGCTTTGACTGCAGTAGACAAGAAGCATCAAAACAAGAAAAAAAAAATAACAAAAGAAGGAAATCAGTACAGTACAACAAACAAACAAAAAATTAAATAAAAAAAGGATACAAAGTTGTGAAGCTGCAGTGTCCCAACCTCAGAACTAACAGTAAATTCTGCTACAACAACCAGAAGTGTCAACTGGTTGAAAAAAAAACAATCCAAAAAACCACCTTAACTTTTCAAACCGACATAAGAACGCAAGCATGGGAATTCAAAATTTACAGATCGTATTGTATTACACATCTTGTATAAAAAATATATATTTAGTTAGTTTAAGTAGAGGTTTTACGGCGCTCGCAGCTGCATCAGGTCATATGAGTGCCAGAGAATTAGACGTGTTACAAGACAGTAATAAACATAAAAAAGAAGAAGGGGAGATAAGGACGATAGATGTTTGATAGATATAGTTAGTCTGAAGTCAGTCAATATGTGGACAATTTCAGAAATCTAGATTTCCCGACTTATCCAGAGAATCAGCACCTTTGATCAATATAAACGACAGATACTAACACATTCTGTCTCAGCAATGAGAAAATCGTGAAGACGCGACAAAGGCTCACTGCTCCTGACAATCTTACGGGTCAGATCCAGCTGCCACGCCAACTCCTTTGGGTACCTACAGAAAAACAGATATGAAATGATTACCCTTGTGGACATAGAAGACAACTAACTTTATAAAGTAAGACTCGTGAATAATAGCAAAAATTCAAAGCAAAGCGATCACAAATATGAAAAACCAAACAAACAACAAATCCAGACAAATTATGATGGCAGGGTTCTAAACAAAGCAAGACACTGAAATTGATTATAATACCACATTTAAGAACTTCTGAATTCAAACAAGGAGCAGCTCACAATTTGTGCCATAGTCATATCCACATTGAACAGGGACAAGGAAGAACAAGACAAACAACGATAACACCTCTTAATAAATATCTAACCAACAAAAGCGTTTTTTTAAAAGACAACACAGCAAACACATGACTGCAAAACAGCACATTAATACTGTTGTTTCTCACCAAGACAAGCACTTAGGGGGAGCTATTGTCTCTCCATCCACTTGAACATCCAGCATGTTGCTGAAATACTTGCCCTTTATCATGCTCAGTAACTCTTCTGATTGGCTGGTGAGAACACAGAACACATTTTGTTTACGTTAATAAAATAGACATAGAGTTGAACGTAAAAAAGAGGGAAAAAAACCCAACAGAAATTCATTTTACTATCTATGAAACGTAAAACAATGGGTGAAAGGGCATTTGATTACCAAGGTACCAAGATCTGGAATGCTTTACCAAGTACTTTAAGAGAGATCAAATCTTTTGATTTATTCAAATGTCAGCTGAAGTCGTTTCTGTTTTTAAATTAATAAGATGAACATTTGGAGTAATATATTTTTTTACAGGATAATGTGCATTTTGGGCCTGAAAAAGGAAAGACATAAACAGAAAAACTGGGACAAGAAAGAAGTAGGACCTATCAGTTGTGCCTGCCCTCCAAACACACACATATTTATAAATAACCCACATCCACACAAACAAATTCACTACCAATGAGAAGATCACTCTGACATCAAGTGCGTTATGATTTATTCAACAAACAAAAAAAATCACACACTTTAAGTACACAGGACAGTACTTGAAAGTACCAATTTCTGAACCCATTAACTCTTTATCTCTGAGGGGGGTAAACCCACAACGCCAAAGCCCTGTTTTGATACTAAATCTAAAAATGACAAAAACCTCACTAAATGGGTCATTAGATCAAAACAAGTGAACCTATTTTGATAGTTCTTCATCTAATGAAAGAACTCCCACTAAAAGAGACCTATATTCAGCAATTGCCGAAAAGTAATTTGACATAGAAGACGTAAATGAATACGCCTGAGCCGAGCGGCTTGGCGGCACAGCCGTGCCCACTGCGAGCCGCTGGGAGCAGCTTGCCGGAGATAAGGAGTTAAATTGACTGGTCAAATTACACTACGGACTAGAGTAAAACGATGTTAATAAATATGTTGCAAAAAACATCAGGGAAACCTCAGAGTTGTCATCATAACTCTTATACATAAATGAGAGAGTGCGGAGTTACAATAGTGTATTTTTTTCACATGGTCTTCAGTAGACCATTGTTTCCTGCATCTTTGGGGTAACAATTAGGCTCTTCGCCTTTACATGCATAAGACTTAAGTTCAATTCTAAAGTGGTGAAGTTTTTTTAAATAAAAGTATCTCTATTTGTCTACTGGAATGATGTATTCTGCTCATCCTGGGTAGGCCACGACATGCAGAGCCAGAGCAGCCCCATTTTTAAATGACATAATTGTGTAGATAAAGGCATAAAACATATAGAACAATTACAACGATTTGGACCATTGTTTCACATCATCCACCAGAACAACAAACAAGCTGAAACAGTTAAAGAAGTAAATAACTTGATACCACATTCAAAATTAAAACATCATCCACAATTAAACATCAAACAGTTACCAGAATTGAATAGACCTAAAGCTCCCTTCACAATAGTGAATACCTTTTGTATCCAGTAATTCTGAAAGTTACAGGAAGGGTTTTCTTCAGGGTGGCGTAAAATTCTTCCCACTCATCCTCTGGAACAATTCCCTGACCCTGACAACAATAAAAAAAAAAAGAAAATAGCAAGAGCAACTAAATTAAATGAATAACTATCATCTCACACACAACGAAAAGGAGGACCAAAAAAAAAAGTGGAATTGAATTTTATTAATATCTTACACACAACAGAAATAGAAAATGACAGGACAAAAAAAAAGATTATTTCTCGATCAAATTAAAATAGAGAGGGAGAGGGACAAAAAAGAGCAATATTACAGAAAAATATGGAGAGAGAGAGGGGGGGGGGAAATTAAAAGAACAGCTCAGATGTGATGATAAAGGAGATTGACAAATATATACTGTATAATATGCAATTATATTTTAGAACTTGCAATTGAATTAAATTAAATAAACATCTCATGTGCCATAAATAGGGGGATAACAAAACCATAAAAAATGCACATAGAATGAAGAGAAGATGTAACAATACAAATTGTTTGTTGAATTTTTTAAGTATGAAATAGATTTTTATAGGTGGTGTCTGGAGTGTGAACCTTCACAGATTTTTTGCAGCCTTAAATACTACCTCAAGAAAACCATTCATTAAAAATGTTCTAATTCATATAGGAAAAATATAACAATTTAAAAAATAATGTAGTTTCTTAACATGCATGCAAAATTATAATCTATTCCCATAGAAAATAAAGACATTGACTTTATGAGACACAAGAACAAAATCCTTATTATTTTTTTTCTAAAAATGTTACTGTGTATTTGAAGAATCCACACCATACTTGTTAAATAAATGTGTGTGAAATGCGTAAAATTTGGTCCACAAATAAGTGAGATCTTGTCCTCAGCTTCCACCCCCCCCCCTCCTCCCCTCAGAGCACCAAGGGTAGGCTCCTCAGCCTATTACATCATTGGAAAGGTCAACAGTTTGTGCTGGTGTGAAAAAAATAAATAAATGATACAGACAGAACTTTCAAAATCAAATCAACAGGAAAGTCAGAACAACCAGACACTTTTAAAAAGACGGAGAAGGTGGAAAGACAGACTGAAAATCTGTTAACAAGTCTTGTGACATAAAATACAACTCCAAGTATAAACTGATGAGAAATTATATAGGCTTGGTTTATCTTCCTATTGTTATCAACAAAGGAGATATGAAACCACCAGTACGTGCCACTAAACAATAACTTTGACACAGAAGAAAATTCTCTCACGTGCTCATGCAGTTATCAGGAAACACTCATGTGCACAGGACACTATAATTTAGTATAATGTGATGCTACGCTTTTTTGTGCAGCAGCCTACATTTTCCTCTCTGCACCAGAACAAACAACTCAAACAAAACATATATGTCAGTTGATGTACATCAAGATGGATAAAGCAAGATAAATGACCTGAATTTCTGGCAAAAACTCTTAATAAGTACAGGAATGTTCTAAGAACACTGTTAGAAGCATCCTCCAATCCATGACACTTTATCATGAAGTGTTGTGTAACAAAACAGAAACAAAATTTAAATTACAGTGATGTTCAATGTAGGTCAAATTATCATATATCCACAAAGCCCCATTCTGCTCTGATCAGTAGAAAAAATAATTTATTGGAAAAGATTAAAAGTAAAGTAAAAGTACAATTACAGATAATTGTGGTATCAAACTAAGGTCCAAAACCTGGAAACCTTCAGACTGCACAGACACAAGAGGGGCTCTCGTAGTCTAAAGGGTACAGTGTTCGCCTCTCATTCAATAGGTCCCGCGTTCGAATCCGGACAGAGATGGAAAATTTTCTCCTTTCACCACAGTCTTTCATCCACATCCCTGATCTTATGGTAGGTAAGATATGAAATCTTGCCTTCTTGGATAAAGGCGCAAAATCTTAGCAGTTCCGTGTGCATACTAAAGATCCCTCACTGGCCCTAAAAACAACAAGAGTAGGCTTCGGCCACCATCCAGGCAAAATGCCAAATTTCCTATCAACTGAAAAATGCTTAATGTATACGCACGTTCACGCACAGTTTCGAGCATCATAAAACACTTCCCCCCACCAACAAAAAAGACAGACACTAACTCCTCCAATCGGAACCTCCCCTCCCCCTCCCCCCCCCCCAAAAAAAACCCCCCAAAAAAACAAAACACAGGACCCAAAAATAAAAAGGTCTCATCTTCAAAGTAAAACAATCCTGTTTCAAGTTATTTCCTCTCCATGGCCAATGAAACAAAAAATGCATCATTATCTAGTATAATAAGCAAGATAAACCAAAAGTAAAAAGTCAAACATGTCAACTAACTAACTTTTCCACTAACATGATAAACTCACCTTATAATATTTGGCAAACAACTCATTGTCTCGCATTGCCAAGTCATATCCTTCCCCAACCTTTCCACCACCTCTGTTGAAATTCTAAAAAAGAATCAAAACAATCAATGTAGTACTGAAATGCACATTGTAAGAAGAGTACAAATCAATAGGAATTGAAAGTCAGAAAGAATTGTATACAAAACAGCATTATAATAATACAGTACATACATTTTTATAAAAACTTCTTTGTAAAAAGAAAAGGAGTATTCTTTTCAGTGACCTACCACTTGACAGTTGAAATGTGATGATATGTTCTACTGTAAAAAATCTCACATGTTTGACCATGATCTACCTGTACTGTGTCAATTTGACAAAAGGCAGTAAGTAAGGACCAAAACCCAAGCCTCAAACCTAACCCTAACATTAACTCAAACCCCTATTCATATCCTTCCTCCCAGCTAATGGTTGTAAAGCACATAATAAAGAACATGCAGTAGAGCAAAGATATGCCCTATAGATGCAATTAATTTGCATTATCATTATCAGCATCAGTAAGAATAGACTAGTAAACCAATTAGGCTTCTTTTAATAGGAATGACTTGTTTTACATTTAGTATAACAATAGTTTGTGAATTTTGAGTATGACACTCATTAGAGGACCTTTCTCAGCTAAGCATCTAACGGTAAATTGCAGATGGATAATTAGGGAAAATAATCGTAGCAGTGTGGTTGATAGTCCACAAAGACGGCAGTGTTGTGCTTTTCAGAGGCTCATGAAAAATAAAAATAAATTTGGTTGAAATTTTGAATGACTAAAAGGAGGTTTGATAATATTTTGAGCTCGATGCGGTTTCAAAAAGATGGAATGTACAGTCAAACCTGTGTAAGACGGCCACCCATCGTCAAGGAGAAAAGTGGCCATATAAGACAGGTGGCCGTCTAAGGCAGGACTGATCAAGATGAAGAAAACAAACCATTCCTTTCTGAGATCCCAACCGAAGGCCGAAGGTAGCCGTAGCCTAATTGTTGGTATTGTTGTTGTTCTTTTTGCTGTTTTTTTTTCTTTTGTTGCTGCTTTTGTGCTTGGGTGACATTAAAACGAAATGTGTCAGACAAGGAGGACCGAGTGCTATGGAAAAACAAACACATGGGTCGCCACCACTCGGAGAAAGAGCGACGCTTCTGTCACAAGTTCATGTTGACGTCCATTGTTACTTTGTTACAGACTGGGTAAACAGTGACCACTCATCTCACTTATGATTTGTGTGTGAGTTCTCGGCGGGGCTTATGGGTTTTGAGGGATCACACGCTCACCTCACCAGCAGCTGAAAATTTGTTACCTATTGGTCAACAGTGGGAGGGATGTACGCAACATGATCGGTTGGAGGGACTAATTAACAACGACAGGGGAATGGATTATGACGGCTCGCCCACAATGCATAATTTATGACAAAACGTAATGGAGTCACTAAGGTGGCCGTCTAAGACAGGTGTTACTGCCTGGTGTGACAGGGGTTGTGAGTTAAAATATGGTGGCCGGGGCCGCGTTGGAGAGGTGCCCGTTTTACACAGTTAAAATAGAAAAAAATGCAAGGGGGGAAATGGAAAGTGGCCGTCTGTACAGGCGGCCGTAAAGGGCAGGTTCGACTGTACTAGGAAGTAGAAATCCCCCCATGAAACTTGCAACAGTTGGAAAAATGACAGCTTTCAAAATGCATGAACAGTAACATTGTATTCAATTTGCTATGTGTGATTTCAAACATTGCCTGTCTTCTCTTCGCTTTGGAATTTGGAATTTTCACCCCCTCAGACCCCTCTTCCCGCCTTGGCCTTATTCCTTTCTCCCGTGTTTCTTCGAACGACTTTTATTTTCAAATTGTCGAGCATTGCCGGGTGCGCACACGGGAAGAGGATTGAAGTCCTGCTCTGGGCCTCCTGTACAATTGCTGATTTGTCTAGCCTGAACGCAAAGCAGTCAATCATTACCAGATAGTTGAACAGGCTATACTTAGAGCCTCAAACGACTAAATCGTCAATGCCAATTGCAGTCCCGTTTGGGGAAACTAGTTTTGACCCTACCAACGATTACTTCTGGTTCTAAACGATTACTTTTTTATGCACGTGCCTATATTATATGGAGAGATAGCCTATAAGTTGGCAACCCTAACGGCAAAACATGGTCAAATTCAGAGGGGCATGACCCCCCCTTGCCATGTTGAAAACAAGAGAAATTTAACTGCTCATTTTGTAGGCTAGATCTACTGACAAAACATAAAACATCGATACCGGCTATTTAAATCCAGTATTCTGTGCTAGGCCTAGTGTGATTTAGTGCAAATGGGACCGCAATTGTACAGGAGTGCCGTGTTCTGCGGTGAGCGAGCGAGGCCTTGTCAACCGTGGCTGTTTTCTGTGCCCGCCTTCGCCCTCCGTAAACTCTATTGCATTTGGACCACCACTGCATTATTTTTCACGTGAGTATTCCTGTGCTGTTTCCTCATTCACTTTGAGCGACCGTAGCCATCATAGCGTTTCAGTCATGCCTCTGTGCCAATGATGAAGATTCAGTCAGGGCACCATGAACGTAGCCTGCAAACTACATTCACGGCGCTGTGAAGGAAGGACTTCCGTAACAAGCAACCACCCTAACAAACATAATAAAAAGGGTCTTTCTAACCCTCTACCCCTAACTCAAAACCTAACCTCTAACCCTCACTCTACCGCCCTAACCCTTGCTAGCCTCAACCCGCCCTAACCCTCTTCTATTCTATACCTGCCTCTACTCTTTCATCTATATCTAGAATCTATTTCATAGTAGTGGCCGCTTGTTAATGTTACGGAATTCCTCCCGCCATGAACATAACATAGTCACTGTAGCCAGATCTAGATCTAGATATTCTAGCTCTACACTACTTAACTCTTAAGTAGATGTACTGGTGATTTTGTAGTTTCGTTTGTTAAAGTCAAGAGTAGGGGGGTTTCAGGGGGACCTAATAAAAATACGAAGTGACTATTTCTCCGAACGTTCAGGAAAATAAACTTTACATGAACTCTATTTCTCCAAACAGTTTCCGTTCTCGATATTTTTTGGTTATTTGCAAGATTTAGGCGTCATCTTTCATTTTGCCATTCTGCGAGGAAGGGAAGAAGCATTTTTTTCATCGAATTCAATTTCTAGAGCTAGAGAGATTTTTAAATGTCTGAATATTCAGATACAGTCGAACCTGTCTTATACGGCCACCCATTGTCAAGGAGAAAAGTGGCCGTATAAGACAGGTGGCCGTCTTAGGCAGGACTGATCAAGATGAAGAAAACAAACCATTCCTTTCTGAGAAAACAAACCCTTCCTTTCTGAGGTCCCAACCAAAGATAGTTGTATTGTTGTTTGTTGTTATTTTTGTTGCTGTTGTTTTCGCTGGGTTTTTTTCTTCTGTTGCTGCTTTTGTGCACGGGTGACAATAAAACGAAATGTGTCAGACAAGGGGGACCAAGTGCCAAGGTAAAACAAACACACGTGTCGCCACGACACGGAGAAGAGCGACACTTCTGTCACAAGCTCATTCAGACGTCCATTGTTACTTTGTTACAGACTGGATAAACATGCAGTGACCACTCACTCATCTCACTTACGATTTGTGTACGGGTTCTGGGCGGGGCTAATGGGTTATGAGGGATCACACGCTTCCCTCCCCAGCAGCTGAAAATTAATTTTGGTGACCTATTGTTCAACAGTGGGAGGGGCCTACGCAACACGATCAGTTGGAGGGACTACCTAACAACGACAGGTTTTTTAGATTATGACTGCTCGCCCACAACGCCACGGGCCAATGCTTGATTTATGACAAAGTGTAATGGAGTCACAAAGGTGGCCGTCTAAGACAGGTGTTATTGCTTTGTGGAATAGGGGTTGTGTGTTGAAATATGGTGGTCACGGCCGCGTTGGACAGGTGCCCGTTTTACACAGTTAAATTATATAGAAAAAACGCAAGGGGGGGAATGGAAAGTGTCCGTTTGTACAGGTGGCCGTCTTATAGAGGTGGCCGTCAGGGCAGGTTCGACTGTACTTCAGTTGTGGTTGGGGTAACATTTCCGGACTAGATCTAGATCAAGACTCTATACTTCATTTGAAAATACTTTCATAAGGTACTGCGAGAAAACAAGACTGATCGACCTTGGCAGTAACTTATTTTGATTTAGTCACCCAGCAAAAACTAAAATCCTTTATGTAAACCCCCCCCCCCCCCTTCACACCTTACGTACACAGACACGCACACACAGATCCGCACACTCACACACGCCACTCCATTCGCAATTATTATCAACATATCTCGAGAACGGAAACTGTTGGGAGAAATAAGTTCAAGTTATTTTCCCGAACGTTTTGAGAAATAGAGCTGGCCATAAAAATATCGAAGTGTATACAGACCCTGTAACAAAGTCACGAAGTATACAGACCCGGTAGGGGAACTCTTTTGTGATGTCGGAAAGTTTCAGCGTCCAGGCCCGGTAGTGTGTGTGTGCGTATGTATGTGTGTGTGTGAGAGAGAGAGAACATGCCCCAGTTGACAGGAGGGAACGAGAGAAAGATAGAGTAGGAAATAGGAGGGGAGAAAGAAAGACAGGGACAAACAAAGAAAAAGAGAATGCGAGAGCGAGAGAGAGAGAGAGAGAGAGAGAGAGAGAGAGAGAGAGAGAGAGAAAGAGAGAGAAAGAGGGGGGGGTGACTGCTCGATTGAAATTATGACATTGTTCTTTTCTTCAAATTGTGTTTCCTCTAACTCCAAAAACGGAGGAAAAACGACCGTTCGTCAAAAAGACGTCCGCAATCTTCATTTAGATCTAGAGATCTAAATTCAAGATCTAATCTAGATCTAGCTTTAGGCTAACCTCGAAACTAAATCTTGTCAATGATTTTAAATGTCTGTCTGTCTAGATCTAGACCTAGGCCATCGATGGAGAAGAACCAGCGATTTTGTAGTTTCGTTCGTTCAAGTCAAGAGTAGGGGGTTTTCGGGGCTTGTTCCCTGACCTAATAAAAAATAGGTAGCGTCAACTGCCACTGAGTGATGAGGAGGCAATTAACAAAAATTGACTTTTTGTCAATTACCACCAAGTGAAGCGGTGTCAAGTCTGAAAACAACACTATCTTTAGCATTATACATGATACTGTGTTTCTAATGGGTCAATTTGTTCTCAACTAATTCCATTGGAATGTTTTGCATGTTTTCAATGAGACGTAGGTCTAGATAATCTAGATCTAGGCTAGCCTTAGCCTACACTTTGGTGTAGAACCAACACAGGCAATTCTAGAAGTAGAAGGTCACAAACGCACACAAACTCAAGCAGAAATTCACGTTCTATCGGGGAATATAAATCGGGGGACGGGGATCAGGAAAAGACACACACACACAAACGCACAACACCGAGCACTTGAGCACAATAAGCTAGATCTTAGGCCTGGGCAGAAACCGAATAAATATTCGAATAACCGAATATGTACCTAGTTTCTGATTCGTTTTTTTCTCTATTGATTCGCTTTCAGAAGCGGAAGAGTGACATGCCCTTGGCATTGCACAGAGGGTGTGGGACGGAGAAAAAAGGAGGGGGTGGGTGGGGAGGAGGTGGGGGGGAGGAGGGGACTTCCGTGACAGCGAGAGTTCAAAGGACCGAAAAACTTGTCGTTTGAGCCGCGATCTCTGACTACGTCACACGAAGCAAAGTTGCGGGGTGACTATTATAATTGATATTAACCCCTGTAACTCAGTGCATTATGACTTCAATTTTTCTTGTCTAAAAAAGGGTCCTTTATTACAAACATTAAGCCCCCCCCCCCCCCCAAACACGCGCCCCCCCCCCCCCTTCCAAACACACACGCACACACACAAATACACACACACACCTTTTCCACACCCAAAACACTCCATCAAAGCCATTTTAACATTCCATTGTTGTTGTTTTTCTATCACTGTTCAATGTTATTGTTAACCTAAGAGAACTGCGTTCGTCTATAAGCTTGCTTTCTTTCGTAAGGTCTTTAAGAACGTAATGAACAGTAGACCTCTTATTGATCTGATATGATTTTTTTACCATACCAAACTCCCTCTGATCAAATGAGTTAAAACTGAATCTCTTCGGTGTTATGAAGACTTCGATTAAAATTTTGAAAAAAAAAAACAGAACGGGGAGGGGGAGGGAAGGGAGTACGATGACGTAGGCTAACGTCACATCCGCTCGCATCGGCGTGACCGGCAGAATTGGACGCATCACCAGACTTAGTTATCATCTCTGATTGCTTAATAATAGACTTCATTCTACATTGCATTTTAATGCTTCCACTTTGGTCTGGTGACGCATCCACTTTGCTGGTGAATGCGTCCACTAGGTCTGATTTATAATCCTCCTGACTGTGTCTTTACATCAATTTTCGTGAGGTCTTCCATCATGTCCAAGTAGGCCTACTATCTAGATCTAGGAAATCCGAAAACACGTCGTTCCATGTGGGTATCCCAGGGAGTGATGACATTAGAGTGCTAAAATTAGCAGCCAATGCGTCTTTTCTACGTTTAACGGCATGTATCTAGGTCTACCCTGAGCCAAGAGGGCCCTGAAACTTTCCGAAATCACAAAAGAGTTCCCCTACCGGGTCTGTATACTTTGTGACTTTGATCCCGGTTACCGGGTCTGAATACACTCCCTAAAAATATGCTGAATTTTACCATAATTTGATATTTTGCAGTTGGAAGTGGCTATCCTCACCCGGGGTGAGAATAAAAATACGATCGACCTCTCACCCTGGGTGAGACTTGCCACTGTTGGCTATTCTCACCCGGTGTGAAACAAGACCTGTTTTTCCTAATTTCGGAGTACTTTCTATCGGTGTGGATGATCAAATGGAGAAAAAATTATGTTATAGCACAAAAGTAAGCTAATTTGATCATCTACAAAGATGCCATGGCTATTTCACTTTTCGAATCGATCCGAACAACGCGGGTCGCCATTTTGTTTTGCCCGGAAGTTCTCGCAAGATCTACTCCTCCCCTCTTCTCTCGGTCTCTTTCTGAATACTGTGTATCGGTGTGGACGATCAAATTGACCAAAACAAAGTTAAAAAATTATGTTAAAACACAAAAGTAAATTAATTTGGTCGTCTACAAAGATGCTACGGCTATTTAACTTTTCGAATGGCCGTCTTGCACTCGAGTCCGAATAACATTTTTTCAAAGTGCCCCCCCCCCCCTCCCAGACACGCACACAGCCACACGTGTGCAGGCCGCCCATCCGACCCCAACACACGCTAACGAGCCATCTTTACTTGCTTCTGAAGACCTCTTGACAAATTAACATTTATTATTTATTAGAAGCGCTATAAGATCCATCTAGATCACTAAGATCAGGCGACCAGTATCTTTTACGAGTTCCTAGAAAAGGCGGTAAAAAATTAGCCGAAAGATCGTTCGCCCACCTTGCTCCGTCAGTTTGGAACTCTCTTCCCCAACACTTGAGACATACAACATCTGAGTCTAAATTTTTAAAATCTTTAAAGACATATTTAATTACCTCCTTTTTAAGTCAGTAGATTCATGTTCAATACAATGTAAATGTAAATGTCTATGTATCCATTTATGTATTTTGTGAATTGCAGTGTATACGCAGTCTAGCCGTACTTATTCTTAATATGATGGCTAGACTGACCATTTACAAAAAATAGGCCTACTGAATTGTAAATATATACATTTTTAGTGTGCAGTACCTAAAGCTTGTATTTGAGACGAAACCAGGTGCCTTAAAATGACAGTGTATGTATTTTAAACCTCCTGTTTTCTTTAGAATGTTAATAGGGCCTAAGATAATTGTACGGCTAGACTGGCAGTCTAGCCGTACTTAAGTACGGCTAGACTTCTTGTCTAGCCGTACTTAAGTACGGGTAGACAGCCAGGCTAGCCATACTTAAGGACGGCTAGACTGTCAGGCTAGCCATACTTAATATTGATGGCTGAATTGTAAATGAAATTTTTAGTTTGCAATGCCAAAAGTATTTGTATTTCAGACAAAACCAAAAGGTGCCTTACTGACTTGCATGTATTTGAACCTGAATAATTACTAGATCTAGATCTAATGAGACCTGTGTACTTAACAGGCTTGAGTCGATTGGGCCAAACCTAGATCTAAGTACGGCTAGACTGGCAGCCGCGTACTTAAGTACGGCTAGCCGCGTACTTAAGTACTGCTAGCCACTTCGATTTACTTAAAATTGTGTTTTACCATCATTTTTTTGCTTTGTTTTGGTCAATTTGATCGTCCACACCGATAGACAGTATTCAGAAAGAGACAGAGAGAGAGAAGAGGGGAGAAGTAGATCTTTCGAGAACTTCCGGGCAAAACAAAATGGCGCTTCCCGTAGTTCGGCTCGATTCGAAAAGTGAAATAGCCATCTAGCATCTTTGTAGTCGATAAAATTAGCTTACTTTTGTGCTATAACGTAATCTTTTCTTTGCCTTTATCCATTGGGAGTATATACAGACCCGGTAACCGGGAACAAAGTCACGAAGTATACAGACCCGGTAGGGGAACTCTTTTGTGAATTCGGAAAGTTTCAGCGCCCTCTTGCTCTTGGCTCAGGGTAGACCTAGACCTAGGTTCTTCTAGATCTAGATCTATATGGCCTAGGTTTAGATAGACAGACATAAATCATTGATCTAGTTTCGAGGTTAGCCTAGATCTAGATATCTAGATTAGATCTAGATCTAGATCTCTAGATCTCTAGATCTAAATGAAGACTGCGGATGGCGGATGTCTTTTCGATGAACGATAGTTTTTCCTCCGTTTTTTGGACTTGGAGGAATCACAATTTGAAGAAAAGAACAGTGTCATAATTTCAATCGAGCAGTCTCTCTCTCTACTCTCTCTCTCTCTCTGTGTAAGTGTATCGCTCGCATTCTCTTTTTCTTTGTTTGTCTCTGTCTTTCTTTCTCCCCACCTATCTTTTTCTCGTTCCCTCATGTTAGCTGGGGCCTGTCATATTTTGCTAGCACTTTCCCCTGCTCTCTCTCTCTCTCTCTCTCTCTCTCTCTCTCTCCTCACACACACACACACACTACCGGGTCTGGGCGCTGAAACTTTCCGACCTCACAAAAGAGTTCCCCTACCGGGTCTGGTATACTTCGTGACTTTGTTCCCGGTTACCGGGTCTGTATACACTTCGTTATCCATTTGATCATCCACTGTCCACAACGATAGAAAGTTTCCGAAATTAGGAAAAACGGGTCTTGTTTCACACCGGGTGAGAATAGCCGGCGCTTTTTCGGTAGTTGCCACCCCGCATTTGTTATTCGCCGGTTTTGGTCCCAAGAGTAGGGGGGGGTTTCAGGGGGGCTTGCCCCCCTGACCTAATAAAAACAAGGTGGGGGGTTTCAGGGGGGCATGCCCCCCTGAATTTTACCACAATTTAATGTTTTGCAGTTGTTAGGTTTGACATCTTAGCTTGCCGCGAATCAAACTTAGATCTAGATCTAGATGTAGGTCAGGCTCTATCAAATAAGGGGGGTGGGAAATACCGAAAAAGCGCCGAATAGCCTACGGTGGAAAGTCTCACCCGGGGTGAGAGGTCGATCGTATTTAACTATTCTCACCCGTGAGAATAGCCACTTCCATTCTCAATAGAGGTGGCCTTTGCAATTAGGTTGCATCCCTGTTCTTTGTGTTGCCTATTTGGTCATCAAGACTTATGACATGGATTTCTTCTCTAATCTCTGTATGTAAACAAATTATATGGATCGTGGACTTTTACGAGCGGATTCTAGATCTAGATTCTATATCTAGATATCTAGATTTAGATCTAGATTATCTAGATATCTAGATTATAGATCTAGAGATCTACTGCTGTACCTACAGTCTACAGTACAGTCTACAATAATTTTGTACCTTTTCTTTGCCATATGACCTTACTGTTCCTCTTTTCTTTCTCCCCATGATGATTTTGATGCCTTGATTTTCAGAAGGCTTTCTTTTCAGAAAGGCCTCGGGTTCAGAAATGTAATCAAGATGATCCTTCTCTTAGAATCTCTAACCCTGCACTTCACACGTGTTTCGTATCACAACACGACACAAAACAACACTGATCAACCAACCAACAGCAGCAAGCAGTCACGTTTTCAATTTTCATTTCACTCAGATCAGATCTCCGAGTCCCGAGTCTCAGAGGTCCGAGTACAAGTTAATCGAACTTTACGCAATGATGCTTTACGTCACTTTTATAGTCGTATTCGCTTTCTTCAACGAACAGAGAATCGAAGTACTCGAGTCTTTCGGCATTATGATCTGCAGGTACGCCAAGCTTAGGGGCCTAGTATAGTGTGTGTGTATAGATGACTTAATTCAACATGAAATCGTTTGAAACGAAATTCTTGATAACGTGAAAGGATTTTAAAACCTTTTTACCGTTTCATTATAATATATAATTCCATTGCAAATCCTCAAAACACGATCAATCAACATGAAGGAATGATGAGGGCATTTCATCATCCAGGCTGTAATTAAATTACTTATAGCGCCCATGGCTCCTCCATTTATCTTTCACAGTAGTAGACCGATACAAATACAACGTAATACAACACAAGTTTAATTAGGCTATGACCTAGGCCCGTAGATATCTAAGAAGGAAGTGTCTATGTACTCCTGCCAACTATTATTCGTCCTGGTTGGAGGTCCGGGGACAAATTTTTGGTCAGTAAGGAGAAGGAGAGAAACCCCCCCCCCCCCCCCCCAAAAAAAAACAAAGTTTCTGAGACCGGGATTCGATGCCACGCCTGGAAGCACTGAGCATTAGAGAATATAGACAGCTTGTATGCATCCTCTAACGTTAGAGAACGTAGGCACTACCATCTAAGAAAGCCTTGGCTCAGAGGCTAGACATACAAAAAAAGAAACTCGGCTTCTCTATTTTCTGTAGGCCTACGCAGTCGGTGGTATCAGCCTAGGGTGGTTTGTGGTTTGGTTTTGCCTCAGCAACTTACTGCCAACCGTCCCTATTTCAATGGAAAATACATCCCATTTTTGTTTCTGTTTTTTTACTTTTTTAAAAATTGTCAAAGTATCTTTATATTGTGCAGTACAGCTCTATGCTTAATTATTTTCATGTTTCGTTGTTTGTTAATTGGTGGCCTTAAACTGAGTACATGTAATAGTAGCGTGGAAAACCATGGACTTGGATTCAAATTGAACATTTCTGCTGGATCATAGACTAGGTAAAACAGCAAAACGGAAGAAACAAGGATAGTAAGACAACTAGGCTATAGCCAAACAAACACTAAACAGCGATAACCGACAAAGGCCAACCATATGCATATTAATCGAATCTGACTCAAGTATTTGCTCGAGTTTCTGAAATCAAATATCGTAGGCCTACATAACAGAATCTTTAGTAGTCTTAAACGGAATCGAACCTGCTCCGTCCATGGTGCGATTCTCTCAAAATCGTGCACAGTGGCCAGCGTTTTTCCAACTTCGATAAAAATTGTATTATAAACATGACCGCACTGTTTTCATTTTAGGAAGATTAAATCTATTTATTTTTCTCTGGCGTCAATTTAGTCTCTATTTTTTAATGTATATTCAAAGCATAGCTTTTTATGAAGACTGTCCTTTAGTCAAATTATTTAAAGTAAGATTTTCTTCTTGGTCATACTAGGCTATTTAGGCATTCAACTTCAGAATCTGCCAAAGACATTTTACTACTGCAACGACTGCCACGCCACAGACCAATACTATTATGCTATCAAATATCAAACCGTTGTACTTTTTAAACTGCAGGCAGAGCCCCCCGCCCGCAGTCCGCAGAGCTAGATTATCAAACTCTACACTCTTCTCATCATAGATCTAGAAACATATTCATGCCTTAAGCTAAAAGTAGGCCCGGCAACGTATGGGCCTAACTAGTAGATCATAGTTGTTCTGTAGACTTGTCTTGCACCTGCACCCCCCCCCCCCCGAAAAAACGTGATGAAAGAACCAAGAAGGCAACACAGCTACTTCGGCGAAAGAGAGGGGGGGATGATGGAGGTATGGGGTCAGGACGGGAGATGGAAGGAGGAAAATAGAGAGATAGAGAGAGGAAACAGAAAGATGGAGAGGATGAAGAAAGAGAGAACAGGAGAGGGATTGAAAGAGATGGTATGGTGGAAAGAGAGGGCGGGGCGGGATATATGGGAGATACAGAAAGAGATTGTAAAAAAGGGGGGGGGCAGAAAGAGAAAGAGGGACACGTGGAGAGGGAGGGAGGGAGAAAAGTGAAAGGGAGGGGACGAATAGAAAGGGGAAGAGACATAGATAGATCTAGAGGCAAGAGAGAGGGACACAGACAGAAAGAGGTCGAGAGAAAGAAAATGGGGTGATTGTATAGCGACAGAGAAGTGGGAGATGGGGGAACAAGGAAAGAGACATAGACGGAAAGGGGGGCGGGGGGATACTGTAACCTCCTTGGGGGGTATGGAGAGGCAGACCGAGAGAGAGAGAGAGAGAGAGAGAGAGAGAGAGAGGGGGAGAGAGAGAGAGAGAGAGAGAGATTGAGGGGGGGGGGGATTATATCTAGGAAAAAGGGGGGGGTTGAGGGGAAAGAAGAATCCAAAGGGGGGGGGGGGGGGGAGAAAGAGGGAAGAGAAAGAGGGAGCGACAGAGACAGCGTTAAGCTAGGAGAAATAGGGGAGGGGGTAGAAGGGGGAGGGGGTATACACAGTTACAATAGAAACGTTCCAGTTGAAGAGAAGCCTGTGTATTGTGCTTATTATTCAACATGCAAAAACAAAAATTGACACAGACCTATTTCAATGTATGTCATGAAGTGCATTACTTTTTTGTTTCTTGATCATGTCTCATAAATGGTGGCACAGTGTTAAGCATGATTTTAAACTGGTACTCTTTGATTTGTTAAATTTCACGTCAGTAACGAGAATTGTTGCCCCTCGCAGTGATGCACGATTGGCGTGTTCTGCACGTTCTGCACATTCTGCGATTAATCGAGTCCGTTTTTTTTTGGGTAGATTTAGTTGTTGTTTTTTTCTGTGCTTTTAAAAAAATTAATTGTTGTGGCAGTCCATCCCACTCTTGTCCCAGTCGTTGCACGGTGTTAAAGTTAATGTCGTTTCGGGAGCTCACTCTTAGGCCCACAGGGTGACATGTGTGGCGAGTAGGCTGGCAATGGCAAAACATTCACATTTTCCTGCTGTAAGCACCTCTTTACCCGGGCAATGTGTGGGCATGCATTGTCGTGCTGGAATGTGTGCATACGTCTGTGGGTTTGAAAGAAGGGAACAGAGTACGCCCGGAGAACATTCTGGTACTCGTTGGCGTTGACCGTTGGGTGGAAAAATGTGCAACTAGGTCCTGTGGTTAAGAGATATTCAACTTCACACCTTTACACTGCCACCGCCCCATCTGTCTATGTCATTCAAGTAGCAGTCTGCTAGACGTTATACTCTTCCAGAGTCTCTATGAAACTGGCGTGCAGAGCTGGTCGTTGTGAGAAAACGATCTCGAAGAGGCCAGAGCAGTATCTGTCTGTCTTCTTGGGAGGTATCGAACTGTGGTCTGCCTGGTCTGGGTCTGTCGGGTGTAACTCTGTCCCCGTGTTTTTTTGCACCCCGCATAATTTAGCAAAATTTAATCATTTTTAGCATAATTTCTGATTATTTTCCTGTATCATTCCTTGCTAAAATTAACGGAATCGCATAATTTCACATTTTTGGGCTCAGTTTGCATAATTTCAGAATTTTTCTTGCATAAAACGACAGGGACAGGTAACTCTAGTGACTTGGAACCCATCTTTCAGGATATTGATGGTAGGATGGGATCAATGAAGCACTTGCGCCACTCTATGGGCCGATAGTACAGCTTGGAGTATTCACTCTTACACATACAGCAGTAGAAGTTTTTTTTAAAAATGGAATGTGCATGCAACTTGTTTTCTTGGTTCCAAAACTCGCTTATGTGTTGATCTAAACACAATTTAGAAGGTTTCATAATTTCGGCGGAACTTAAGTCACAAAACGTGTTCATTTGCATGTGGGTCACGTGACCACGTGGTAGATCTAATTTTTTTGTTCAAGAGAAAAATCAGCGCGGAGTTATAGTTTGGTAAATGGTGAGTGATATATTCAAAATTTCGCTCACTAACTCAAGTGGACAAAGGCACATTTACAAAAACAACAACACATTGGAAAGTTTCTATAGCCGTAGATAGATAGGTAGACAGGTAGATAGGGAGATAGAGGGTGAGAGAGAGTGAGAGAGATTTAAAGATTTCTTTACGATTTCAAAACGATTTATTGATTTGAAAGGCCTTTGGCCCATACATATTACTATATTACACATTTTAACATAAGGCTCGGCAATTACATGCATTGGGGTAGCACATCAGATATTTAACATAAATTGGGCACGCACGCACGCACATACTCACGCATGCACACACACACACTCATACATACATTCATACGTACGTACGTATGTACATACATACATACATACATACATACATACATACATACATACATACATACATAC